TCTCTATCTATCTGTCTACTTGTCTCTCTATCTTTCCAGCTTTCTATCTATCTATCTATCTATCTATCTATCTGTCTGTCTGTCTATCTATCTAGAGCGCGACTAACTCAACAGGGCAGCGTAGGATGCCTTGCGCGTTGCCATTCCAATGCGTTTTACCACTGCCAAGCTGCATTCCATCTTAGAAATGCGCACCGCGCGCAAGCGCCACGCATTTTTTCCAAATTGGATGAAAGCCTTGCGCGTTGCCATTCCAATGTGTTTTACCACTGTCAAGCTACATTGCATCTTAAAAACGCGCACCGCGCGCAGGCGCCACGCATTTTTCCAAGTTAGATAAAAGCCTTGCGCGTTGCCATTCCAATGCGTTTTACCGCTGTCAAGCTACATTGCATCTTAAAAACGCGCACCGCGCGCAGGCCGCGTGCGATTTTTGAAAGTTGGAGCTTCCAAAAGTAGCCCGACCCTCTCAGGTTTTTACGATTTTGACTTCCAAATGTGCACCGCGCGCAGGCCGCGTGCGATTTTTGAAAGTTGGAGCTTCCAAAAGTAGCCCGAGCATGTAGTGTTTTTACGATTTTGACTTCCAAATGTGCACCGCGCGCAGGCCGCGTGCGATTTTTTGCCAGCAATTCCGACCAAAGGCTCCGCACCCGCCGCTTTACCGAAGTAACTTCTGGGCCGTCTGGAGGCTCAAAACATTGAAAAATACAGCATTTCGCGACCTTTCTAACATTTCGCACACCATGCTTCATCTTTCTTCATCGCTTCTTCATCTTTCTTCATCGCTTCTTCATCTCTTCTTCTCTCTCTCTCTCTCTATCTCTCGCTCTGCACTGCTCTGCTTGAGTTGTCGATATTGTCGGAAGTTAGACTTCTAAACTTCCTTCGATAAACCTTATATATCTTGGGGTGGAGCATGGTGCAACTTTTCAATCTCCAAGCCTTGTGGCGCAACGCTGGCAGCAAGTTCAAGTGTAGCACAACTTACAAGAGTGTTTCCGGCTAACTCTCGCGTGTACAACTGCAGAATTCAACCAAATTCGCATCACAAAATATTTACAGAGCACCAGCAGGAACTCCAGCGCCCTCGCCAGCAGGAGCTCCGCCGCCTAGCCGCTCCGCGCGTTCCTGAACGGCCAGATCCCGTTGCCAGCAATAGTACGCTGCAGCTAGACGCGCCATGCTTTGAATCACACCCACCAGGTCTGCCGGCGGCGGGCTTGTCGGGCTGCATTCCTGGGTTCTGATCGTACCGTTTTTTTGGCTGCAGCCGTTTTTTGGCTGCTGTCTACTTTTTTGGTGCGCGTGTTTTTGGTCGTAGGACGTTTTTCTTTTTTTTGGCTGTGCGCGTGGGTGTGCTCAAACTTAATCTTTAACCTCTCCTTCCTGGCGTAAACTGTGTTTTTGTCACTGGTTTGTGCGCAGGTGCGTTCCTGTGCTGACGGGCGCGCGTGCGTTCCTGCTGTTTTTTTTTAACGGTTTTGTTTGTTTGTCTGTGCGTGCGTAAATTTGCATTGAATTGTGTGTATGTGTTTTGTTTGCTTGTGTTGTTTGTGTTGTGTGTTTGTTTGTTTTGTTTGTTTGTCTGTTTGTTTGTTTGTTTGTATTGGTTGTTTATTAAATTTGTTTGTTTGTTTGTGTGCATGTTTGTGTTTGTGTGTTTGTGTGTTTGTTTGTTTGTTTGTGTGTTAATTTGTGTTGTGTGTTTGTGTGTTTGTGTGTTTGTGTGTTAACACGTTTGTTTGTTTGTTTGTTTGTTTGTTTGTTTGTTATTGTTTGTTTGTTTTGTTTGTTTGTTTGTTTGTTTGTTTGTTTGGTTGTATTGTGTGTTTATTAAATTTGTTTGTTTGTGTGCATGTTTGTGTTTGTTTGTTTGTGTGTTTGTTTGTTTGTTTGTTTGTGTGTTAATTTGTGTGTTTGCGTGTTTGTTTGTTTGTTTGTTTGTTTGTTTGTTTGTTTGTTTGATATCAGATTGATTGTTTGTTTGTATTTTGGTTGTGTGTGTTTGTTTGTTTGTTTGGTTGGTTTGTTTGTTTGTCTGTTTAAACAAATTGTGTTTGTATTTTTTGGTATTTTGTGAGTTTGTTTGTTAGTTTGTGTGTTTGTTTGTTTGTTTGTTTGTTTGTTTGTTTGTTTGTTTAAACAAATTGTGTTTGTATTTTTTGGTATTTTGTGAGTTTGTTTGTTAGTTTGTGTGTTTGTTTGTTTGTTTGTTTGTTTGTTTGTTTGTTTGTGGTGTGTTTGTTTGGTTTGGTTTGTTTGTTTGTTTGTTTGTTTGTTTGGTTGTTTGTTTGTGTTTGTTTGTTTGTGTGTTTGTTTGTTTGTGTTGTTTGTTTGTTGTGTGTTGTTGTTTGTTTGTTTGTTTGTTTGTTTGTTTGTTTGTTTGTTTGTTTGTTTGTTTGTTTGTTTGTTTGTTTGTTTGTTTGTTTGTTTGTTTGTTTGTTTGTTTGTTTGTCTGTTTGCTAGTTTGTTTGTTTGTGTGTGTTTGTTTGCTTGGTTGTGTGGTTTTGTGTGTTTGTGTGTTCGTGTGTGTGCGTGTGCGTTTGTTTGCTTGGTTGTGTGTGTTTGTGTGTTTGTGTGTGTGTGTGTTTGTTTGCTTGGTGTGTCTGTGTTTTTTGGGTTTGCTTGCTTTGTCCCTTTTGCGTGGTTGTTGCATTTCTGTTGTGTGAATTTGTGTCGCTGTTTGTGGCATGTGTTTGTTCCTTTGGTGTTTCTCTGTGTGTTTTTGTTTCTTCCTTGTATTATTTGCGTGTTTTCGCCCGCGCGAGCTAGTGTATGTATTTGTTTGTGTGCATGCAGGCTCGTTGCCTGCGTACGGTTCGCTTGATGGCTTGGCGAGCTTGCTAACGCAAGTTTCCTTTATTGCTATTGATTGCTTAACTGCAATATAACTTTTGCTATTTGCTATTGCTATTGCTTGCTTGCACGCTTATCATCAATGTTGCTTTGCGTGGATGGAAACGGTCATGCAGACGTGCAGTTGGCAAATCAAAACAATTAGTTGCACACAGATGTGACATGTATTAATGCCCGTACTCGTGGCGCGTAGCTCAACATTGAGCAACGCATTTACATTAAAAAACAACACCATGTGCAAGACCCTTCTGATTCGAGTCAGGCCATGCTTCGCGGTTGCAAGGTTCAGGCCACTGTACGTTAATCTTTGTCAGTGCATGCTGCATGCATGAATGCAGCACGCAGGGTTTGACACGTCTGGCGCGCCATGGCAGAGCGGATCTCGAATGAGCCATGGCCGCGACGCAACCACTTGCCCCGCCGCAGCAGCAAGCAGCCCCGGGTCAGCGTGCAAGCCCCCCGCCATTTCCGGCCGCGCCGCAGCCACTTGCCCCGCCACAACAACAGCCAGCCCCGGGTCAGCCGACAAGCCCGCCGCCGCTTCCGGCCGCGACGCAACCACTTGCCCCGCCGCAGCAGCAAGCAGCCCCGGGTCAGCATGCAAGCCCTCCACCATTTCCGGCCCCGCCACAGCAAATGCAGATAAGTCAGCAGGGAAGCCCTCCGCCAACTCCGGTGGCACTTGAGATACCACTGGATCCTGAAATGATCGAGATCCAACAGTGGGCGATTCGCCAAAGCGCTTTGTTGGAGGGGCAACCGCCGCAAGCTCAAGCACGTGAGGCTGCCGGATCCCGACAGCAAATGCGCCCCGTGGTTGTGAGCCCACCAGACCTGCCATCCCCCCAGGCAACATCGCAACACACTAGCCCCGCAGATTTGGCAACACCACCGCATCAAGTGCAGCACGCCCGATCAGCAATCCCTTCCATCTTGGCTTCGACAAGCCATCAAGCCAGCCCTTTGACAGCCCCGCCCACTCCAATAGACATGGCAGACCAGCCGAGCCCTGCGCACACACAGAGCTCCATGACTGCGCCGCCGACACCGACAGACAGTGCTGCCAGCCAGGTGCCAGCTCCAGGATTGGTCAGCCAGATGGCACAGCTGTTGATCAACAATACGACTCCCACAGATACCGTTTTGCAGATCATGCAGCTGATTGCAACGCAGATGGCGCCGGGCGAATCTGCGAGTGCTGGCGCCGCAAGGGGGGTGCCACAGCTGGAGCAACACACCCTGCATGAACATCAGCCCCAGCCGCAGCTTTCAACGCAGGCGCATCATCTCCCGCCCGAGCTGCCTGATCAGGCGATGGAGATGCCAGAACAACATCATCCTCCCGAGCTGACACAGACGCCTCAGCCAACAGCAGCCCCCACCCCAGCCGCTGCCGCCGCAGGAAGCCTTGCCAGAACTGCAGCAAAATCAGCCGGAGCAGGCCCAGACCCACGAGCATCAGCCGGATCAGGAAGCCCTGGGACAACCGCAGCAGCAACAGTGTCAGCCGGAGCAGGCCCAGACCCAGGAGCATCAGCCGGAGCAGGAAGACATGGGACAACCGCAGAGCCGGAGCATCAGCCGCAAGAGCAGCGCGCCCCGCCCCACACCCAGACCCAGCCGCAGCAGACACCACCGCTGTCGCGGGTTCCGGGCACACCCGTGGCGGCTCCTGGGACACCCAGGCAAGCCTCAGCAGGCTTGGAACTCGCACTTGCCCCGCGAGCGTGCAACAGCAGCACCCACATGAAGGAGTGGAAGGCGTTTGACCGGTTCATCAAGAGCAATGGGCAGGCTGCCCCGGAGCTCGCGCGGGCGTTCGCGCGCCTTGGCCACGCGTGTGTGTGTGTGTGTGTGTGTGTGTGTGTGTGTGTGTGTGTGTGTGTGTGTGTGTGAGCGTGTGTTGCAATATATTTTTGTGATTTTAGCTCTTGTGTTTTTCACTTTTTCAGATGTGGTTTGGGATGATTGCTTCTTGGTGACACATTACCGATCGTGTGCATGTATGCGTCTAAGGCGCGGCGGGTCGGCCAAGCTGGACGCGTTCGCCAAGTTCGTCCAAGCTGCAGGATCGCTCACATGTTGAAACACACGTGTGAACATATACACATAGTTGTGTTGCCTCGTGTCCAGGAGATGCTATGGCCGTGGAGGCGGTGCTCCGGTTTCGGAAGATCCAGGAGACTGAGGATAAGGACAGAGGTGCCATGGCCCACATGTGTTCCGGAACACGGTTTAGATGCGATGGTGCGTGCGTGTGTGTGTGTGTGTGCACACGCATGTGGGCGTGATTTTCATGCTTGACATTGTTCAGGTGTCTTTGTGCGGTGGGAGAAAGTGCTGGAGCACTACAAGGGCCACACTGAGGAGGCCAGGGACTTTGTCGCCCGACGCCAGCGCGAGAAGGGGGGGACCAGCAGATGCCGGAACGACCCGGCAATTGAGACGTACCTTCTGTTTGGCGAACAGGAGAAGACCATCCGGACAAAAACCCTGGAGGACGTTGCCCTCGAGTGCGGGTGCGACGCCGCGGTGGCGGTGGATCTGATGAGGGCCATGGATCAGGGCCAGCAGGTCGGAAGCGTGCAAGCAGCGGGGCAGCAATCCTTGCCAGGGGCCAGTGACCCACCGGCGCCGCCGCAGAACAAGCCGCCTAAGAAGGCCCGCGTCGCCAAGGAGAAGCCAGCTGGGACCAACATGGAGGAGCTCAAACCTGAGGACGCAGATGTTGCAGCCTTTGTGAATATCTGGGTGAAGTCGAGCACCGATGCTCAGGGTGTGTGCACCAGCATTTCTGCCCAGCTGCGTGGCTGATCAATCATTGTTGCCTTAAAGCACTGTTGAATGTGTGTATTAAGTTGAACATATGGTTAGGGTTCGCAAGCAACCAGACCCACTGCCCTTTCTACAACCACAATTCTGACACATGCCATATGTTAAGTGTATTTTTTGAGCATGAGTTTGTGTAAGTGCTTCTGGCCACCCCAGGCTGGAACCTCTGGAAAGCCAAGATGCATTGATTGCAGCGAGGGCTTGGGGTGCGCAAGGAAGGCCCTGATTGCCCTGGGGGCTTATCCCAACAGGGATGACGTTTCACATATTTTGCAGGCTGCTGCAATTCACGTGGCAGGTTACAAGAAGCACATCAAGACAGCAAACACCTTGCTCCGTGCCACGGCTGCGCCCAAGCCACGTGCGAAGGGAAAGGCAAAGGCGAAGGCGTGATGGATGTGCGTGTTGGTTGAATGTGTAACTATATGTGTTAAGACATGGACTTCAGGGACAAACAGCTAGTAGTACGGTAGCCGGTGACGTATATGGGTTATCAAATTTGTGTCTGCTTGACAAACGCACATCCACACCAAATGCTGGGTGTGCTTATAGGAATTGGTGTGGCCATGTGCGTGCTGCGAATGGTAATCCTCGTATACACACCCAATGCTCAACTGAACCAACCGCGGCATCATGTGGTGTCACACCTCGATGTGACGTCGGCTGTCTCGAGGGCGCCAGTGCTACACGTGCATCATTGCGTTGAATTGTCAATCAGAAGCGTTTGTGTGATCAGAAAACCATGCGTTAATTTGCCGTGTACTAGCGCGACATTTAGGTTTCTAGCTGATTTGGGCGAGTTCACACGTTTTTGGTGTGACTTTCATGTGTAATCAGCCGCCTGATGGGCCGTTGAATCGAGCGATCGTGCAAATGGTGCCAATGGTAAAGTCAGTATACTGTGAACTAAATATAGTCAACACAAATGTGAATTCACCAGACAAGACAATTATCCTTGGCACCAAATAATATGGTGCCGCAATGTGCCGCACTTGAGCTTGTGCCAGACCTCAGCTGATTTTTGTCAGCTAGCCAACCGATGATTGAGCTGTGTTGTGTGTGTGTGATCATGATCAAGCACTTTCACACGATTCCCACAACAAGGCGAGTGCTGTGGACTGGCGTGATGCTTGGGGTTTCAAGGTATGCGTGAACACATCGCATGCTTTGGTCCGGGGAACTCACACGATCCGATACGTGTGTTGGAAAAACGGGCGCTGCGTGAACGATTGACATGGTTTTGTGATGTATGTGGCGATCATGCATGGCCGGATGTGCGCTCTGCGATACATGTGCCGCCGATGCGTTGGCTTAAGAAATAGTTCGACACATATGGATCCTGAGCTTCAGTAGCTATATGCATATACCCACTTTCACTTAAAACTTAAGAGGTTGTTCGCCAGGACAAATATGAACCAACCAATGCTGTTGACTGTTGCAAGTTGATCATAGGTCCACATGCGATTGCCATGGAGTTGGCTTCATGCTCAAGCGCCTCCGGACACTCAACCGCGGCGCCACACCGCCTGACAAGTCTTCAAGGGGACTCTCATTGAAGGCTAGGGCGAGTGTTTCAGAGGGCAAGATTGATGCTGAAATTGGTGAGCGCTTGTCTTATGTGCTGTTTCTTTGGCCCTTCAATCGATGTAGCAAACGGCGTCTGATCGGCGTGTCAGCCAGGAGAGCCCTATCCTGTGCGTCGCTGCGGCAGAAGTGGGAAAGGGGTCTGCAGCTGGATTGGCGCAGCGGTTTGCGGCGGCGGCCGTCGAGGAAGCTGGAAGCCACAATGTGTCACACAGTGTGCCACTTACTTCGTCGGACAATCGTTGGTGTTGACACAATTGTGAGCAGCTTAGGGTTTGGGGTGCGTACTTTGTGACAGCCGGGATTTTTTGTGGGTGTAACGGTTGCGTTCACCTAGATTTGCCGCGAGCTCAGGCACACGATGGGCTGCTAGACTCCTTCGTGCTAGGGGCCGTGGGCACTGCGAGCAATCTCTGCGGGACGAACCTCAGCTCAAACATGCATGATAGCTCTGACTTTGTTGTTTTCTCAGAGTCGCACTTTGGTAGGATTTTCAATTGACATCGCAAATATATTGCGCTTGATGCCATGCACTCAGGATGAATGCGTCAAATGCAGCCTGACCTACGTGATGTTGCCCTGTGTGGACGTGCGTGCCCGGAGGCGCCGCAAGCTCTTGACGAAGGGCAAGGCAAAGGCAAAGGCAAAGGCAAGATCAAGGCACGCCACCATAACTAAGGATGGTGCAGCCAAGCCGAAAATTGTTTGGCGGGAGTGGCCCGTGATCAGCCCGATGGAGTTCTGCCGGGCGCTTTATGATGCCAATTTGTGGGAATTGGTGAGCTTTGGCGGCAGTATATTTTTTGGGCACGTGACGTTCCATGTTTTGGAATCCAGATCAACCATGTGTGGTTTGTCAAGAAAATGGAACTTGTTTTTGTGTGGAACGATGCTTGCGCAAGTTGAGCATTGCACACAGTCGCTTGCCACGTCGATTTGTTTTTCCGATTGGACGGCCATCAATTTGTTTCGCCAAATTAAAACATGGTCTTTCCGTAACACAGCACATGTCTCTCGAGCTGCGCGCGCAAGGACTGGCGACACCGACTGGCGGAGCTTCTGGGAACAAGCTCGCAACGAGAAGTGGGGGCCGTCCCTTTGCCACAACATATGTCAATTTGCAAGTTTTTTCTCACGTGTGTCAATTGAAGCCCTTGATCCAACATATGGTATTGCCCAGTTGATGAAACAGTCTTGCGTAGAACATGTTTGCCCCCAAGGACTTTTTTAGTACTTGGGTCACCAAACCAATCTACAGTCGTCCAGGTCGCATCCAGTACAAAGCTGGTGCGAGCGTGATCGAGCTCGCGCAGCTGTTTGCACTTTGCACGGGGATGAAGGAGAAGGAAAACGCCGGAAGAACATCTTGATTCTGAGCTTTTCCCCGCTGGCGACACATGGGGCGCACTGGCGGTCGAAGTTCGTTTTCGCCGACCCTTGGCTGACATGCGAACACTCCTGCGCGTATGGTTTTGCACGCACAGGTCACACGCGAGCGCCCCCTTCTTTTTTTGTTTAGACATGTCCTTGTACCAAGGTAATCCCCAGCCATCTTCACGCGTTCGACGGCGCATGCAACCTCACGGTGCAGCGCATGCAGCGCCACATAGTGCGGACCGTATATGCCATTTGAGTTTCGATCCATGTGTGTTTCAATTCCGTGTTACACATGTCATTGTCTCGTTCCCTGGCGCAGGATGTTCAACGAGCTTGCTGCGCCACCAGCAGAGGAGAGATTGGGTGGCCACACCCTTCACCTCGTCGCCGGAAAAGGTGACTGGAAGTGGAAACGTGAATTTTTGTGCGAGCCCCGGCATTATGGCCGAGCTGATGGCATTTGCCGGCGCTGCTGCTTGGCTTTCAAGCCGATGGTTGAAACAACCTTTTGACGCTTGCCGCAAACAAGAGCATGCGTTCGGAATCCAAGGCTACGCGGGTCGGCGTGATCGCCCATGGACAGACACGGTGCAGTGCGCCTGGAACGAGCCGACCGAGGTCGCGGAGGCCGTGATCAGTGGCTGCTTGTCAGATATGGTAATGGTACCCCGTTGCCCAAACATGTACGTATTAATACTGTGCGGCTGATCGATAGGCTTAGGGTTTGGGCTGCTGTCGGCTGTCACCCCAGTGATTTTTGTGGTTGGGCGGCCAGTGCATTCATCCAAGGCGTTGGTCAATCCATCGCGCTTCTTGTCAGCAGCCATATTGGCGTATGTCATATGGTGTTTTGACACATGGACCATGATGGATTTGAACTTCGCTGTGTTCAAATCTTAAAGACCCTTGCAACGCTTTTAAAACCAACACGTCTCAACAATTTGACGCGGACATTTTGAATATCAGTTGTTTTGAGCATCACACCCAGCTGGTCGATGGATGCTGTCATGACGATCGGCACGTGTGCGCTTGGTTTTATGAATGGATGCCGCCAAACAAGAAACATGTTGCAGTACGTATACATGTGCTCGAGTTTGATTGGGTGGAGGCGGGAGAGGAAAATGAGGCGGCTACCATGGGCTGGCTGTATATATGACTCATTGAAAATGAGCTCGGCAAAGCAGCCAAGACTGTGAAACCTGCGCGGCTGGACTCCAGAAATGGAGTGGCCAGATGTGCTCCACGTGTGTGGCTGGGGATTGGCCGGGACACAGCAGGGACAATTTGCATGTTGGCTGCGAGGTGGCTGCCCAAGTTTCAGCACATGAAGACCTACGACGATCGCCTGCACGAGCTGACGCTGGGCTTGTGGGACTGGTGCAAGCGACATCGCTTGGACACCAGCGGCGTGGAGGAATTGTCGCTGCAAAAACTGGGCGTTGAGACAGTGTCCCTGGACTACCCGCTTGGGTACAGCAAGGGGTGGGCCAACAAAGTGTTGCCGTTTAGCTGCATTATCAAACAGAGGGGTATATCGATGCATGTTTTCATTTGTGTGCATTTGATTACAAATTTTGCTACCTGGCACACTTGCTGGCTGACGCTGGTCAGGAATTGGCAAAGCACGTGCATGGTACGTTTTGACGCACCCTGCTGTTACAAAATATCAGGCCTGGGCCCTCCTATAAGTATGCCCTTGTTGTGCTGTTTGGGCCAAAGGCTCCTTTTGGGGCAAACGACACATTTTTTTTTGCCTCAGTGCATGTTTGCGTATTTTGCTGTTTTGCGAAACCAGGATGAAGACGAACATGCGACGTTGCCCGACCCAAAGGCGACATTCCCCGACCAAAAAGCGACATTTGCCGACCACGGTTTGGCAAGATTTTGAAGCAGCACTTTTAAAAGGAAAAGGCCCTTTTTGGAGCAAACGACACAATATATAGCTTTTTCAGCAAACGGCTGAAAAAATGCACACGATGAGCTTAGGACACCGATGTGCCGGAGCTGGCCTACGCAGGTGT